TCTTTCTAAGTAACTTATACTATACTCACCCTTCTCACCCTTGGGTGACCATGGGTAACTGGAATCACGCAATACCAAGTCTCATGAGGAAAAGACTACTGTATTAACACTCCCAGTTTACAGAAGACGAAACTGAGTTGCCAAATCAATACAAATTATGTTTATCTTAAAAGTAGCTTTGCCAGTCTCCTGATCAGTGAATATCTTTGGTTTGAAAATATGAGCACTGGGGGGCTAGGGATATAGCTCAGTGGCATAAGCGCCTGCTTGGCAAGCACAAGGTCATGAGTTCAATCCCTGGTACCATAAAAAAAAAAGCAAAAAGAAAATATGAGCACTGGGAAAATTTTTAATGTGGTTTGAGCCTTGGCACAATTACCTAAAAGCCAAAGAAAACTGCCCTGAAATGTCATAAGTGGAACTGCCATGTTATGTAACTGCTTCAGAGGGAAATGAAAGAAAACATTATAGGCATGAAATAGATGTCACAAGAGTAGTATGAATGTAAAAAATTATCTTATTGAACATATTTCCAAATTTATTACTATCAGAATATTTGAACATATGCCAAAGTAGAATTTGTACAATGAAATATCATGTATCCATTATCCAGATTCAAAAATTACAAATATAACAATATATTTACTGATCTATCATGACATAAGAAATGATATTCCTACTGTGAGAAATCAAGAATTTCAAAATCACAGTTTCAGAATCTTAAACTAACAAGCCTCAAAGAAATCTAAAAAAAGCCTCTAGTCTAAAAATCTCTCTTACAAACAAGAAAACCAACATGCTAAAAGGAGAGACCTCACCAAGTTAGTGACAAAACCTATGTAAGGGTCCATTTCTATTACATTACACTGCCAGTTAGTATTAAACACTGTTTAATTAATTTGCATCACTCAAAACAATTCATAGAATAGAAAACCTTTTTCTCTATAAATTCATTAAAAGAGACTAGGTTATACCTCAGCATTACCAGATGTGAGTCTTTTATACCTAACATTTGTTTCCAAGAATAGAAATTACAAAACAACTTTTCCATCTATCCTCTTAATATCTAAACAATAATATAAAATGAAACAATTCTTCAATCAAAAGTGCTCAGAGAAACAATCATATAGAATTTTACCACACTGTGCTCTTTCCTGGCTCTTCCTTGATAATTCTGAGACAGAGAACAAACACATAATGAACATTTTAATGAACTATTAACAGGAAACCAGAGTGTATGAAAGTGTTCTTGGATTGAGCTTTAATATAATTAAATTAAGTCCCAGCTGGAAAGTGGAAAACCAGCAGAAAATTCCTAACAGCCAGGGCACATCATAATTTCAAGAAAAATAAAAATCAAAAATACATGTTAGGGCTGTGATATAGTACAGTGGCACAGCACCTGCCTGGCAAGTGCAAAGTGCTGAGTTCAATTCCTGGTACAAAACAACCAAAAAAAAAAATGCATGTTATTCTCCCAAGTTGTCTTTGTATTAGTGGAATGTGGTTTTAAAATTGTTTAACAGGTCACCAAATAGGGTTTCAAAACAACTTCCTTTACAAATCTCTTCCTTTAATTTAGAGGAAAAGGACAGATTTTTAAGGGTCGTATTCACTGTATATTAATACTGAGTTTGAAGTGGTGATATAAGAGTACAGCTGGACTGTTTACAGTAACACTAAGATGATCTTGTGAGTATTTTAGATTAGCACTTGTATCTTTGAGGAAATGTTTTATTTCTTTACTCAGATTAAGATTTATTATCTCCCTAAGTTACTGTCATTTAGTGATTCATTCAGTGGGTGAGCCGATCATTTATTTAGCAAGTAGTTATCGATTCTGTGCTAGATCACTGGGGTACAGCAATGAACAAACAGGTAAACTCCTGCACTCCTTGGGCTTACGTTCCAATAATGGAGCTAGAACTAAAACAAATAAACAAAAATATATTAGGTAATACTAATGCCATGGAAATATATCCTAGTAAAGGTTGGGGGTGTAGTTCAGTAGAAGAGTACTTGCCTAGGGTGCACAAAGCCCTGGATTTCATCCCAGCACCACAAACAACGCAAAATGAAATACGGACAGCAAATCTGCATACTATTTTCTTAGTTCTGGGCTACTGTCTGTTTTTTTTGTTTTTATTTTTTTGTATCAGGAATTGAACTCAGGACCTTATACTTGCCAGGCAGGCACTTGAGCCGCTGAGCTATGTCCCCAGCCCAGCTCTGGGCTACTTTGTAAGATGCACATGTGGCCCTCATTTGAAGAAAACAGAGTAGCTGGTGGAAATACAGATTTACAAACTGAATTAATCAAACCTGTTTGACAGCATAGCATAGTGGCTAAAAGCATTAAATCTAGAGCAAAACTGCCTGAACTTGAATCTCAGCTCCATTGTTGACCATCTGTGTGGCCCTGGAGAACGTACTCAAGTTCTCTATGCCTCAGTTTCCTCATCTAATAGCCAATAGGGCCTACTTCATAGGACTGTAGTGGGAATTAAATGAATTAGTATGTGTAAAGCATCTACTATTAGCCAGGGTCATAATAATCCTATGTGTGAATTATGTGATGGAAAGTTTTGATTGGAAAGGAGAGCAGTAGGCCAAATGGAATAAAATCTATCTGTCCATTAATTTGCTAGGATTTTCCACTGGTCATCTACTGGGGTTACAAGTCCCAGTCTTAGTAAGCCTCATTTGTGTGAGGCTCCTGAAAGTGGCAATTATTTGCTCTTCACTAGAAAATCCATTGATACTCACATAAAGTACTAGCGTTATGGGGCGAAGGAGCAGCTATGTGTTAACATCTCACTTTTGCACATTTGCATAGCATAACATTCTTATCTCGAGGATTTGGCAAGGCACAGGGACTAGGACTGGTAAATTTTAGTGATACGTAAGGAATAAGCATATGAATACATGTATCAGTGGAATAGTTCTCGGAAGAGAGGGTAAACACAATCATGAAATATCGAAAAGGAGCAAGATAGGAAAGCAACAATTGCTAAGTCGTCTAAGTTCTCATGGCCACACTTGGCAGCTATGCTGAAGCGTCTTAATTTTTTTTTTTCCGTTTGTTTTGTAAAGGAGCCATTTTCTGTAAATGCTAACAGAAATTCCTCAAGTTCCACTTTGAAACATAACAGTCCTCCTCTGGGGAAAAATAAAACCGCAAGGTAATTCAGTCCTCCAACATTAGATAACAATGACCAGATCCTTTCCCCACTTTATCAGTCCTGTCTGCCAGAAAGGATTGCAGAATCTCAAAAACCCAGAAGTTACAATAAAGAGCTTTAAGGAATTCACACTAGAAAAGGTATTATTAGTTCCACTTCTTCCCAAAGTTTTGAAAGACCTGTTTAGGGCAACAGGATAAGAATGAGAATCCTACACGTCTTTCAAGTAAAATTGGTCACACATGTTAACTTGATATGTGCCATTGATTAAGGTACAATACTTATAAAGAATTAAATATCCTTTGCATTCTTTAATAAAAATTAAGATGTCATTTCCCCCAAGCCAATACTATCTCCACTTAGTAATCACAAGGTCAAAATGCAAGTTTGGGTTAGTCTTCAATTTAAATTCAACTGCCCTTCAGTTTCCTCATGGTATCCAAAGCACCTCACGGTTCATTCGCTGCTTGTTTTTACTTGGGTCCCTTTATGCTTCCATAAAGTCATACTAAACATTCTGCCTTTCCCTAAATAGTCCAGGTATCTCTTATTCCTTATTGCCTTTGGACTAGAAACTTCATCAAAAATGTAGGCAGGTAAACATGTTGATACAAGTCCAGTTAGGGACTTCATGTTTACCACTGAAAACTCCATGAAGACGTCATCCCCTTTCTGAAACCTGCAGCCTGTGTTTCCATAGACCCAGATGGAAAAATGTTTCCCTCTGTTTAATAGATAGCATCATAATCATCTATTTACCTCTCTACCTTCTGAACTGGACTTCAAGATTCTTGAGCGTAAGGAATACATTTTTATTCATCTTTAAGTTCTTGTAGTGTGTATCTGGTGAAACTAGAAAGAATAGGTCAAAGATAGGAAAAAATATGAGGGAGGGAAGAAAGTACGGAGGCCTGGAGCTGTCTAGAAAGGCAGAATTTGAGATGGCCGGGCAATCACGGCTTTCTTTGGGATAAAGTCTTTGATGTATATAAATCTGGGCTATTAGCTGTTTCCTTCATTTAATAAATTAGTTAAGTTTGCTTTTAGAGTGCTACACTGTTTGACAACTCTCATTTAGTATGTTGCCCCAATACTTGATGACCCAGGCAGGCCCTCATTCCAAGCTACACAGGTGCTGCTTCCTATACATATTTTTAAAAGGAACTCAGTAGTTGTGAACATTTTTTCTAATAAGGCCTTATGAGGTTTTATTGTGGCCAATATATGTTACATTTGATCTCTTGACTATCATCTATGATATTTAATATGAGGCCAGTTCCCATTATACCGACCATTTATTTCTATTTCCATGCATAGTATATTTCCCTTCTTCTCCTCACGTCTTATTCTAGAAGAAATCCAAAAGGAAAAGGCTGTCTTTAAAGACATAAGAAATATATGTCTTCCTCTGAGACTGTATCTTTCCTGTGTTCCTCTTATTTAAGGGAACATGTCTTACTTTCATATGACTGTCATACTTCATTATATCAATAGATTCTTAGTCTTAATGGATACACATAAACCCATGCTACATGATCAGGCAACCACCCAAACAAAGCAAGACATGGTGCTGTGCATTGTAAAGTTCTAAACGACGACTTAAGGAACCCGAGTTTTGACCCTAATACTACCACTCTTACCTTGGACACATTCTTTCTTTTCTTGAGAATGCAGTTTCCTCAACAGTTAAGGAAGCTAGATGCTTTGAAAATGACGTCAAGCTTTAATTATGCTTCAAAAATAACTTGAAATACATCTTACCTTACTACAGTTATCTTATACAATTTTATTATAAGTTTTTAAAAAATTTAAACTTACCTTTCCAAATGTGTGTGGGATTCAGCCCCTTCTTGTGAACTGTCACTACAAGCCCTGTGTAAAGAGAACAACATTGGTTAAAAGCAAGTCAACGTACAGGAAAAGAACTTTTAATCTGTCAACTTCCTGATGATATCTGTAGAAAGGAAACTGTTCAAGTAAATACCTTTTCTTTTGCAAAAAGTTTAAGGTAACAGAACTTGTGTAGACTGGCATAACTTACATCGTATTCTCTTCTTCCAAAGAAAATGGGCGACACTGACACTAATCATCACTGATGAGATAAAAATTACTGAGATATTGAAGAAGCCTACTGAGCATGTTACTCAGAGTGTAATGATATTGGGTTTGGAAATGAAAGGACATAACTAAGGTTTATACATTTTTGACAAAGGATGTGTGTGTATGTGTGTGTGTGTGTGTGTGTGTGTGTGTGTGTATTTGTTGTACTGGGAATTAAACACAGATCTTCACAATGAGCTACATCCACACCTCCCCCTTTCCTTAATATTTTTTAAAATTCTGAGGCAGACTGTCACTAAGTCAGTAAGTTGCCCAGGTTGGGCTTGAACTTGTGATCCTCCTGCCTCAGCCTCCCAGAGGGTTGTGAGATTATATGCATGTGCCACCATGCCCAACTCTTTCTCTCTCTCTCTCTATATATATATATACACATTTATATATATTTATATATATGCATTGAAATGAAGAGGGTACTTATCAGATTGCTAAGTGTTTCTGATGGAAAACTTAGTGGATGTTTATTT